TGTGACAGAGTAGCATGTAGCACGTGACAGAGCAGTATGGAAAATGTGACAGAGAAATTGTAACATGTGACAGAGTAGTATGTAGCACGTGACAGTAGCATGTAGCATGTGACAGCAGTATGTAGCACGTGACAGTAGCATGTAGCATGTGACAGAGCAGTATGTAGCACGTGACAGTAGCATGTAGCATGTGACAGAGCAGTGTGTAGCATGTGACAGAGCAGTATGTAGCATGTGACAGAGTAGCATGTAGCATGTGACAGAGTAGCATGTAGCATGTGACAGAGTAATTGTAGCATGTGACAGAGCAATTGCAGCATGTGAGAGTAGTATGTAGCACGTGACAGTAGCATGTAGCACGTGACAGTAGCATGTAGCATGTGACAGCAGTATGTAGCATGTGACAGAGTAGCATGTAGCATGTGACAGAGTAATTGTAGCATGTGACAGAGCAGTATGTAGCATGTGACAGAGCAGTATGTAGCATGTGACAGAGTAGCATGTAGCATGTGACAGAGTAGCATGTAGCACGTGACAGAGCAGTATGTAGCATGTGACAGAGTAGCATGTAGCATGTGACAGAGTAGCATGTAGCATGTGACAGAGTAATTGTAGCATGTGACAGAGCAGTATGTAGCATGTGACAGAGCAGCATGTAGCATGTGACAGAGTAGCATGTAGCATGTGACAGAGTAGCATGTAGCATGTGACAAGGTAGCATGTAGCACGTGACAGAGCAGTATGGAAAAATGTGACAGAGAAATTGTAACATGTGACAGAGCAGTATGTAGCATGTGACAGCAGTATGTAGCATGTGACAGCAGTATGTAGCATGTGACAGCAGTATGTAGCATATGACAGAGTAGCATTCAACATGTGACAGAAATAGCACATTATAATTATTTAAAAGTACAATGCAATACAATATCTACTCCATCAGTAAAAGATTGACCTCTAGGCAGCATATTTAACTTCACAACTCCACTGTGTTTCGGCAGCCATGATCACAATGCTATTGTGCATACTTAGCAGGTCTCCTTATAATAAAATCAAATAAACCCACCTGCGTACTGCCAATCACATGATGCCTATTATTTCCATCGTAGTCACAAAACTCAATAAAATCAAGACGACGATCTCCAAAGTATACTCTTTCAGTCGGCAGATCAAGTGTCAAACCATTTGGCCAATAGATTCTGTCAGTGACAATAACGGTTCTATCGCTTCCATCCATGCCAGCTCTTTCAATTCTTGGGCTGCGACCCCAATCAGTCCAGAACAACAGATGCTGACTGGTGTAATAAAAACAAAAGAATATTTTGAACATAGCATTACAATTACAACCGTGGCCATTGAAAATCTAGATTAAATAACTTGATGGTTGGATGCAAACTATTGATGCACAATCTTTTCTTTGCATGGTGAAAGTGAAAGTCGTGAAACAATGCAATAATATATCAAAACATTTTGTGCAGAAAATACAGACTAAAATTTAAGTACAAACAAACCTGACCACAAATAAAAAAGAAATTACTTAATATTCATGTTCCTCAAATAATACTACAAGTACTGCATTTATCTCAATGTTTCAGATATTCAAAATCAAATTTGGGGAGATTTTATACTAACAGATCAAATGTTAACAACGACGACGATAACATGGACAGATTTGTTGAACTACTGATATACTGGACAAAACTAGGAATAAATATTT